CCCTCATCATCTAATACCAAAGATATGCTCCTGGCTAAGTGAAAAGTTATCAAAAATAATTTAAATATATTGGCTCTTTCAGGAGTTATCCCAAAGCTGCAGACTGTCTACAGTATCTATCTCAAAGGGCGTATATGCCTGGGAATGATTAATCTGTTTAGGAAGTTTAACTCTTGGCTGCATTTTCACCCAACGTATCGCAGACGGGCTGAAATGTTAACAAATGGCTSATTTCCTCATCGCAGCCGCAGAGCAGAGTGCATCAGCGTGCTTAATTCTGATTGAACAAGACACAGCCCAGAAGGAAACAAGAACATTTAAGAGTATTTAAGAACTTACTGATGTTGGTCTAATGCAGTCATAACAGAGATAATATTTATTTTGGGTTAAGGCCAGAAAACAACGTAATAGCCCCATTTGGGCAGTCTAGACCCTTCATATGTGATAAACACTTCCCCAGAATGCATAATTTGCTAAAATAACACACGTAGAGTGCATGCTTCTATCTGGCAGAAATGGTGTCTAGCCAAAACAGGAGACTTGAAAAGCTTTCCCAGAATAAGGGAATAGAGATGTCAGRRAAAAAAAAGAAAAAAAAAAAAGCTTGAACAACATTTTGCCTGACTTACAAATGGGACAGCATTAAGAAATCAGGAGGAACCCAAACTTTCCGGAATGTCCTCAAGAAAAGGAAAATGCTTTTGTTTTCTTTGCTTTAAAAATGAGTTCAGTACCAAAGCTTGGTGGCAAGATGCTGATTTGCTCTCAATAGGCAGGTCTGATTTCTTCAGCTTTTCTTTTACACTATCTCATCACCTAAAGGTGCAACATTAAAGGGCAGACAAGCCCAGAGGAATTTAGCAGGTCCTGCTATAGCACATCAGCCATCAAAGGAACATTCCATTGTGTTTTTCTTCCATATCTACACCATGATGAAGCTATTTTGCTTTTCCAAGTGTATATAAGGTGTTTTAATGTTTTATTCCTGAAAGACAAATAAAAGRTACAGCTTTAGGAAAACTTACTGAAATGGTCATAACAAGATGCAAAAAAGACCCAGAAGGCCAAATTAATTGTTATGCTTGCTTCAGCTAAAACCCCACTTGGCTTTGATGCAGTTTTCTTAAAAATTGCTTCTATTCACAAGCACATCCATGAAGCCAGAAAGCATTACTGACATCCAGGTGTAATATTTGGATGACTTGCCCATGGAGTAAGGAGTGAATGTGGGATAAGGTGATATTTGGGAGCATTTCAGCCACAGGACTCAAAAGAGAAGGGGCCTGTCTTTCTATTAAAACACATGGAAATTAATATTGAAGATGCCTAAGAGTGCCCTCAGCTAATCATCTCTTCTGTCTGCTACAGAGGATTTTCCTGCTAGACTCAGCATAAATTTACACCATAGCAAGAATGAATTACAACTGGTTGAAGTGAATCTGTCACAGTTATCCAAATGAGGGATCTGTCAACGAAGTGACACGGGCAGGATACAAAGTCGTATCCCACAGAAAGAGAGAACTGAATTTCTGCAGATAAGCAAGGGTCTGCGCTGCTCCTTCAGAATTCGCAGAGCAAAAAGCCTAAACTCATACAAATACCAAAGGTGTTAAAGAAAAAAAAAAAAAAAAAAAAAAAAAAAAAAGCCTTGGTAAAGCAGATCGGAAACAAAAACTGCTAAAACCAAACTTGGCTGTGTAATCCAGAAAAATACGAACTGTTAGATTAAATCCATGCGACTTTGACGATGATCTGTGATGAGCTGATCAGAGTAAGACAAAACAATCCAATTAGAAAGAAAAGAACAAAATGTTCTGTAGAGGAACCCTCATTTTAGCAATCAGCTGAAACAAGAACTCAACTTTCAGTGACCTAAGTACTCTYAGCAAAATTACATATTTATACTATATGATTTATATTATATGATTTTAAGTGTCAGTATGCTGAATCGGTGCTTTGTTTAATGTAAGTAACACAGAGATAGTGATAGGCGTATTCCGCGTGTTGCTGCGGGCAAGGCGCAGTGTCACAGAAGCCGGTGGCGTGACTACTGCCCTTCCTTTATGTTGGCAGAAACAACTGTCCCCTATATGAAATAATCACGACCTCCAGACAAATGGCCGAGCTGCGCGAACAAAAGCACACGCAAGGCCACTGGGGAATGTGGCTTATGTGGCTGAAGGGACCTCWCTGTGCTTTGTTTGGGAGGCACAGGACACACGTAGGATCGCGTGTGCGCAGCGGCGGGAAGCAAAGGGAAGGGGCAAAAAGGCACATGGCCATGACGGGAGAACTCCTAGAGAACAGCAGGAAAGAGGTCGTGTCTGTGAGGGTAATTCCGTGCTCAGGGACAYGCAGCTTTGTAAATAAGCTGGAAGGCACCAGGAAGCACTGTGTGYGCTATCAGTTCCTCCCCTTCCAAACGATTCAAGAGGACAGGAGCCTCCACGCTTCTTCACGACGCGCTGCCAGGTGAGCGTGCCGGCCTCCTGTTTAAGGCTGAACACACTGGTAGCTGCCCACACCACACCGAGTACAACAGCACACRCATTCAATGCACATTCTTTGGACTACATTGGTTTGACAAATMTAAAACACAAACTACATAAACAACCCTCATGGTGACATCACGGAGACGTCTCAGGTTCCTCGCCGTGTCATTCTTCATGTGGGAGGCATATAGAGCTGAGACTATGTGCAACCAGCACTGCCTACCCCAAATGGAGGTAGTATTAACAGGTCCCACACCTAACTGCCTTGAAAAGTCACCCAGGAAAAGCTGGGCTCCCAAGTTAAGACTGCAACCAGAAAGGCCGGCAGACGGCACAAAGCAGCCTGCGAAGCTTAAATCTCACGGGTCATGTCCGGGCAGCTTAGAAGTGGTGATGGAGACCAGCTTGAGCGCCTGCCAATTTACTGCCCTCAGATGAGGCAAGCTCACTTCATAAAACCCTGTGAACCTGTGAATTTCCAGATAAAATACTAAGCTGGTTTTGAACAAATCAGATTATGCACTTAGCAATCACTGCAGTCTTTAAAAGTCACTTCTCTTAGGKTTATGCAGAGGAAGCTCTGATAAAATCCTATTTGATTTTCTGCTGTTAAGCAGCTTGTAATATTATTATTAATATATTATTATTCCAGTCTGCTCCTGTAAGGCTGAGGTATGCATTTCCTTCTGAATCATTCAAACATGTAACATGGGTTATCTTTTAACAGGAAGATTACCTTTGAAATTTGAAATCCTTTCTGGATTCTTAAAAAGACTCTCTTTTTCTATTTCTGTGATAGTATGTATCTTTACCAGGAGGYGAATACCCCATGAAATTCATGTTCAAACTTCCCTAATTAAGATCACTGAGATGAATGTGCAAATAAAGGCAACAAAATAAGCTCACAGGGCTGTTTCCTCTCTTTTGCTTGCAGCACAAGTGACTTCAGAAACACAATCTGAGTTGGCAAAACTATGAAAGGATCTGCTAAAATATGTCCATTCCCTTCACAGAAATTACACATTTTTCCATGTGATTCCTCCTAGTATACTGGGCAAATAAACATTGTTATTTTAARACATTTTTCTTGACAAACCATGTGTAAGATGTACAGAGAGTATCCACTGCTGTTGATGTCTTCACAGCAACTGTTCATTCCATGATGTAAAAGGACAAAGGGAGGAAAGGGATCAAGTCCTTCTTTGGGTAGGAGAGCAAGGAAGAACCACACAACARTGCAACAAGCCTCTGGATCGAGGTGAGAAGGAATTTGAAATCAAGCTTTGATTTCCTTTTTCTTTCTGTATGCTTTTAAAGGAAAGACAGCCTTTAAAGTCAACAAAATGTTTTTGGAGAAGACCTCTAAAAAGATTAAAATCTGTGTAAGATGTTTTGTATGACAAGATTTTGTTCAAGTGTATGAACTCTGGATAGCAAACTGCTGACCTAGAGATCAGTTGCAGTTTAACAGAATTATTCACACTTTTTGTTCTCCGATGACCTCTAATCCAAGTAGCTAGATACAGATCTATATAGGTCTATAGATAAAGCCATAGTTCTATATCAATATCAGCCTATAGATATATAGACAGGCGAAGTGGGAGTTGCGTAGCACATGGCTGGCTCTCTGGTACCCTATTTTTAACTGGATCCCATACAGCCTCTTCCCTTGTGTGAATGAAATACAGAAATACCTTCTCTTGAGACACTAAAGGAGCTACATCACAGAATCATAGAATCATAAGGGCTGGAGGGACCTCAGAGGTCATCTAGTCCAAACCCCTGCTCACGCAGGGTCACCTAGAGCACGGGGCACAGGGCTGCGTCCAAGCGGGTTTTAAAGATCTCCAAAGAAGGAAACTCCACAGCCTCTCTGGGCAGCCTGTKCCAGGGCTCTGTCACCCTCACTGTCAGGAAGTGTTTCCTTAAGTTCCTGTGGAATTTTGGCRTTTCAATTTGTGGCTGTTTCCTCTAGTCCTATCGCTGACGACCACTGAAAAGAGGCCAAACCCCTCCTCCTCACTCTCTCCCTTGAAGAGTGATACATACTCCCTTGATACACACTGATCAGATCCCCCCTCAGCCGTCTCTTCTCCAGGATGAACAGGCCCAGCTCCCTCAGCCTTTCCTCACAGGGGAGCTGTTCCAGGCCCCTGATCATCCTCGTAGCCCTGCGCTGGACTCTCTCCAGCAGCTCCACATCCCTCTTGTACTGGGGAGCCCAGAACTGGACACAGTACTCCAGATGTGCTTCCATCACTGCTAATGGTGCCTGCTCCAAGAGAAAAACCGTGTGGATTTGAGTAATATACACCTAACTCAATGCACAATTTGCTAAATTACTACAAATCATCAGAAATGATTGTCACTGCAGTCTGGCAAAGTATATAATGTTAATAATTCTGATTTTATTTCAAATTTTTAAAGATACATTTTAAGATTTAAAGCCTTTTTTTGCTCATCTGATGCTATAAATGACAAATTTCACCACACCTGCTAGGCACTATGCAAATAAGTATGCAGAATTAAGATTTGCATATACCAGAAATCAGAAGAAAAGCTCTCAGATAGCAAATGCTGCAAAAAGATATGACAGAGATAAAAGCAGGTATTGTAATACAGATTAATACCAATACTGGCTGTACAAATTCTGCACTGTAACTCTGAAATCAGGAATCCTCAGCATTGTTTGGTGAAGAAGCTCTGGAATTCCTACATGGAAGCACAGTGATTTTGATCACATTTCTTTGGAATGAGACTTTGGAAACTTTGGAATTTTTTAAGCAAGAATATGCAAACAATTAGCTCACACTACCTAAAGGGACTTCTTGAGATGTAAATATAAAAGCAAGTGAATAAAAGTGAATAAAAAAATGAGAATAATGTACCATGTATTTACTGTCTTTTATTGATCTCACTATTTACATAGCCAAGAGGAAAGGAACTTTTCAGTCACTTCCCGAGGGAACATTTAATTAGTATAACTCGCTCCAGGCACATAAACTGGTTTTATTTATATGAATTTCACTCCTTTTGYTTTGTTTGCTTGCTTTCCAGGAGCCCTAAAAGCACTGCATCAGCTTCCAGCAGAGTCGTGTCCGTTGTGGCGCCCAGGAATCTAGATGTGAGCTCCAGATCCAGCAGTCTCAGCCGTACGCGGGCTCCTTTCTGGTATTTTCTGTGGAGAAACAGGGAGGGAGGACAAGAGAGGCTTTGGTAAGTGACAAACTTGCATCTCGGCAGCCCCTGCTCCTGGCTGCAGGCTGCAGCAGCAGCCCACAGGGAATGCGTGCTATACTGGAGTATAATCACAACGCAAAAGCACCAAACAGGGACCTCGGACACAGAAACAGATTAAATCCTGAGTTTCCCAGACGCTTCACCGTTTGTTTTTATGATTTCTCTGTCTTTTAAAGCRTTCCCTTTTGTGCATACAGTATTCTCCTTCGAGCCTTACTCGTCATCAGTAACAGCTTCCATTAAAAAGCAACACAAATGCCAGACAGGAAAAGGCTGAAAAAGGCTCAGTGATTGAGCAAATACATTTAATGCATTGATAATCCTACACAGAGCCCCAGTGAAAGGACACACTCTGCAGCAGGTCAGAGCCCATGTTTGTTGATATAATCCTGCCCAGGGAACGGAGGCAGTTATTACATAGGAAACTTCTTCTATCTTCTATCAAAACATGTCATTGTATCACGTGGCATCCCGCACACAATTATCTGCAAGGCAATATATCACTAAAGGGGAGGACAAGTCATCATTAGATCCCTGGTGACACTGCTATTATCAACAAACCATCATGCCAGCTAAGTAGGACTTGTATTTCCAGCCCTGGGCCTCAGGCAGGCAACTCCTCTTGTCTCTTCTCTCCCCCAAAAGTGTGTATTGTCTCCAACTTTTTACATACATATAATTAAAAAGAACCCCCCCAACTATTCTAATGAAACATTCCGCCCACAGGGTTGAGGTTTATTATTTTAATCTTCTTTCTTTTGTTTTCCTTTTAAGTCTGAAAGAGATGCGAGAGATGCGAGAGCTCAAAATATTTTCAAGACAGATTGTGCCAAATCAGCGAAGATTTCTGAAATACTGACATCTTTTATAAGGTTCTTGGAGAGCTACTGATCCAAGTGCAGCAATGAAACTGAGGATTATTCTTATTTTTAAAGTCTGGAAGCCAAACACATTTTTCCTTGTTAAAAGAACAAGTTAAAAGAACCAACAAGTTGGTTCAGGCATCAAGCCTGACCATCCTGAGCAAAAGCACCAAAATAACCATCTTCCAGGTACAAACTGCAGAAAACTTAASAGTTTTCTAAACTAATAGTTTTCTAAACTATTATTGAACTAAATAGTTTTCTAAAGCTCACTGAGTGACACTTCCACCTTGCTCATTTTCAATTTAGGCAGACAAACCTTGTCACTTGGTAACCACCTACTGTCATGGAGCAAAACTGAACTGGGTCTGAAGTTTGTTGGGCACATCAACCAAGGTCCCCTTGGAAAACTAAACTTTTCTAAACTTTAAACARTAATCTGCCTTTTTCTTCTTTCTCCTAGAGAAGAAATAAAAAAGTAAAAAGCTCACCAATACTATAAACTAGGATGCTATTGTGGAAGATCTTCATAATCCAGCACATCCAGAGAATATTAATCCAAATGTACGCTGAATTACAAGTCTCCTCCTGATTCAACAGCAACTGCTTGAGAAGTAAAGATACTGAGCTATACATTTGCAACTGAAATACCAAATATTTCTTTCATCTTGCAAGAGCTCCTTGTGGTCCTGCTGTTAGACAATAGTGTGTTTTGTCACCATGTGGTGATCAGCTTTTTTTTTTTCTTTTTCTCTAATCAGGAAGCACTATACAGCTCCAGAAAGAACTGTGAGGAAAATCTGTGAAGGAACTGTACTTCTCTTATGATTAATAAGCAAAGCTAACGAATAAATCCTAAGCACAAGACCCCAGATTTCATAGTGTCTAGTACGTGAGAACTTTGCTCAAGCTTCCAGACATGACTTTGGAGCATATTTGTAATGCAAAAGCCAAACAAYTGTGTTTTCACAAAAACGTCACAATCTTTAAATGCTGCTGCAGTCACTCAGACACAGATTCCAGGGACTTTAATCACACTCAGCCCCATCACTAAAGCGTTTTTCTCTCAGCCACTGCACACCTGGTGACAAGGAGACCTTGAAGGGCATCACTTCAAGGAGCTGACGCAACTGTCTGTTGGTGTGGATGCAAACATTTGTTGTGACAGATGATCCTTACACCTGAAGAACATGAGGATAAATGATCASAGGAAGAGGCAAAAAGGGACACCAGGGAATACAGCTCGCAGCGGCCCTGACCACCACTCTGTGAAGCCAAAGGAAACACCAGGGAGCTCCAGGTGCTGTAATCACACTCTGCCCCCCGCACAAAGCAGTTCAGAGCAGAGGAAACCACGTGTGTTTGGGGCAGAGGCTGGAAGCAGGGCCTGTTTTGTGGGGCCCAGAGGCACTCCGGGAGACGCCCAGCACCATGGAGGAGGGAAGAGGCCGCCGCCCTCGTGCCTTCCTCCATGACAGCGGTGGCATTTGGGAGCCAGGAATGGCCTATACCTCCCTACACCTCCCTACACCTCCCTACACTTCCCTACACCTCCCTACACCTCCCTACAGCCCCCGGGCACCCTGCTTGTGGAGGAGGCCCCGGGCAGGGAGGTCTGGAGGCCTCGGCAGCACGGGCCCCTGCCCACACCCACCACCAGACACCCCTTCCAGTGCCAGCCAGGGACGTGCGACGTTCCCCTGTGCAGGTCTGGGCAGGGAAACTTGAGGAGAAGCCAAAGGAACCGTCTTCTAAGGCTGAGCTCCAAGTCTGTGCAACCAGGCCGATGTGAAGCGCACCAGAAGGCCGGCAGCCCGTCCTTGGGAACACTGCTGAGAGGGAAGCAGCGGATGCTCTTTGCCGTGAGGGTGACGGAGCCCTGGCACAGGCTGCCCAAGGAGGCTGTGGAGTCTCCTTCTCTGGAGRCCTTCCCAACCCGCCTGGATGCCGCCCTGTGTCCCGTGCTCTGGGTGTCCCTGCTGGAGCAGGGGGCTGGACTAGAGGATCTCTAGGGGTCCCTTCCAACCTCAGCCATTCTGGGATTCTGTGAAATCACAGCCAAAGTGCTGGCATTACACTGAAATTAAGGTTTTCTTTTCTTTGCGTGACCATATCCAACTACTGTGTCTTACCTTGAACAAAAAGTAGATCCTTTCTTGGCAGAGCAGGTATAAATAGCATATATTCTGAACTTAAGCAGCTCCAAAGTTTCTTTCCCTCACCAAAACCTGGTCCCTAACCTACCCTTCCACTTCACTTTGGCACTGAAACTTCAAGTCTGCCAAAGCATGAAAGGAAACAACAACAAAAATAACCTTGCAGTCAAGATCTCAGCTTGTAATTTTTAATAAACTTTAAATATTAATAGATTTCATATTTTAACATCCCCTCAAAACATACCTGTAAACAAAAACGTAATGTTTTTGACAGATGGAGCACGGTTACATGGAACGCTGTATTTCAGCTCTTACTGTCAAGACAGCTACAGAGGAATCAATGGTTTCTAACTGCAAAATCACTTCAGTCTTCAGCACTGGGTGTACAAGGTGAGTGAGCTTAGAAGGCAGCGAGCGTCTGCAAACCAGGAGGCTACAACTAAAAATGATATTTTGATCACCACTGTACCCTTTGCTGCAAAGAAAAGAGGAGGGCAGTTTTGCAGGCCTGCTACGTCACATGTGGAGGAAGCATCCTCACTACTAAACAGCATCAGGAATTTTTATTCAGGCTCTAAATTGCAGTCWTTTTGTTAAAGCACTCGATAGTTATAACTGCATGTAAATTAGCCAGCAGTCCTGTTTCTATTAATAACACTCAAATTATTATTTTAAATTTAATAAACCTGCTTGGAAACCAAGCCATAAAAATAGCAATGCAATTACAGCAATAGTTCAGTCTCACCAGGCCCTGTTAAATATTAAATTTAATAACGTTATTTTAAAAGCACTTTACATAGATATCTTTCCATTCTATATAAGAAAAACTAGAAGAGCCCTATTTTGAAAGACRACCAGAATATCTTAGCTTGTATTCATTCTCTTTCATTACTACTTTTCAATGTCCATTGCTTTCTTTGGAGTGAGCACCTCTGAAAGGCAAAGCTAAACAAGGTGACTCCTAGGGCTTGCTCTGACCACCCTCACCCACCAGCCATCCCTCCACAGCATCTGTTCCACACCTAATAAGCTGCCTGTCTATCTAGAATAGGAARCAATTACACTTTTTCATTTTATTTTTTCCCCCATAGAGGCCATGATTTAGAGAATTTAATTTGGATTTTTTACATTTTTATAATTTTTATATATATATAAATAATATAAATTATATATAATATATATATATATAAAATCTGTAGTTTCTCACTCACAATATAGAAACTATGAGGCAGCACCAGAGAACAAGCCTACCTCTAAATGAACTTACCCAGCAATAAAGCAGCGTAGCTGTGGTGTGAGTTATCTGCACATCTATCCCATCACAGCAAGGAAATACTGATATAAAAGACCCTTAAATCTATCTGGTAAAAGCCCATAATGGCAGGAAACTGAGGTCAGACAAATGCAAGTTGGAATAACCTTTTTATCAGTTATGCTGATTAACAACTGGAACAAATCGCCAAGAGGAAACTCTTTTAGCCACTGATGGCTTCAGCTGAGGAGATGTCAGGACAAAAGCTTTGCTTCCCTTCAAGGCTACCTGCGGAAATCTGATGGCTCTCACCGAGATGACCCGAAAGCCCTTTTGCCATAAATTCTGCTCACRTATAATTTATTATCAGCAGCCAGTCATCCTAAGGAAGGATGGATGCTCAAAACAGGATTTCCAAAGCATCCCTATTCTCTGCAATGAAATACTTTGCAGAAATACTCCAAGGCTGCTGCCATTCCAGCAGAAAACACAATCTTTTTTCTTGTGACTCATCATCAGCTCATTGCCACTTCAACTCTATTTGTTTCCCATTCCATTTGTTTGTTTTTGCCTTTCCATGAACTACAGCAAGCAGATATCTTCTGATTTCCTCTAAGCATTTACTGTTTCTGACATTCACTTAGACAGTTTTCAGAATATTTTTGCT